AACCTCCCTCCACCTGCTGGCCACACTCTTCGTAACGCCCCGCAGGATACCACTGGCCTTCTTGGCCACAAGGGCACATGGCTGGCTTGTGGTCCACTTGCTGTCCACCAGGACTCCCAGGTCCTTCTCCGCAGAGCTGCTCTCCAGCATGTCGACCTCCAGCCTGTACTGGTGCACAGGGTTATTCCTCCCCAGGTGCAGGACCCTACACTTGCCCTTGTTGACCCTCATCAGGTTCCTCCCTGCCCAGCTCTCCAGCCTGTCCAGGTCTCACTGAATGCCAGCACAGCCCTACATATGCTTATATAGACGCCATGTACATATGACTTGTCTAAAGTGCTTGAATGCTTGTTATGTGCTTATGCTTGTTAAGTAGTTCGTAAAAGTTTCCCTTAATTGGAGGCAGGTCTTTAGACACACTTTTCTTCATAAGTTTTTAAAGCATCCAATAAAAATTCCACGTGAGGTCTAGCTTGCCCGCTGTGGGACATACCTGGAATATTGCATCCCAGGAAGCTCAGTGACCTGTATCCACGTGACAGAAGTGAAGAACTGCTTAAAAGACGTACATTGGATGTGCGAATGAAGCATAACCTCTGTACCGTATACAGCACCCATACCCACCTATAGCATGGGTGTGCAATTGCCTGCGCTCGCGTCTCCTGCGGTCAGCAGGCCCCAGAGTAACGAATACTCCTCCCCCTGCCCCAGCCAGTCCTCTGCACAAGCACCGTTTTAACTTGAGAAAAATCACCCAGAACCGTGTGTATGAAGGAAGCCCATTCTTCACAGGAACTTCACGAGTGGGCAAAACGTCTCTCAAACAAACACAGAGCAAAGTCCTTCCATGCAGTATTTTTCAGAACTAAGCAGGGCACAGATACACCTCCCAAAAAGAGCTGTTCCCGATAGGCACTGAAAGGAAAAGAGATTTCTGAATGCTAGTTTCAGCTCCCCCTAAATCATGTGATTCCTAAATGGGGGCTGAGTACCTGGATTTCCTTAATAAAAGTTGATGAATCTTTATAAAGTGGTTATAAATATTTTGCCTTTTTTAAACAACAGATAATGATTAGAAAGATTTTTTTCTTTGTCATTCCTTGGTTTCTCATTTAACAGTCAGCCACTCCGAAGCCAACACGACTTAAATTCTTTCCGAAGATCATTTGTTACCTGGTGTTCCGAGTGGAGATCCGTTTGCCTTAGAACAGAACAGGTCATTTTCTTAGATAAAGCCCTTTCAGCCGTCTGACAACATGGTTCCCATGTATTTATGTCCATGTCTGTGTGATTCAACAGCAAGACAATCCAAGCGTTTAGGAAGATTTTTTTTATGAACAAGTACAGTTGAATGTACACAATTAAAACTTTATTTGTCAAGACTCAACTCCTGTTACCTCAGACTCATTCACTAGACATTCTTTTGTACCTCGGGACTGCAAACGGAGCGGTACCTTCAGCATGCATGTCAACAGCGTCCTAGACAACTTCCACAGTGGAGTTTGGTGTTACCGTCGCTCCTGGAAGAGCACTTCCTGTCCACAAGAACACGCTCATGGTTCCAGCTCCTGCCAGAAGTCCCACCCACTGCATTTGTTACTTGAAAGAGCTGATTTGGGTTTGCCAGTACTCCACAAACCCGAGGCTTCACTCCCACAGATTTAATATACTAGGGCATTAAAAAACACCTTCCGTGTTGAAGCACCCCTTCCTGCAGGTACAAATGCACTGCAGAACTCCCCCTGCAGCTTCAGTCTTTTACAACACCGGTGATTTCCCACTGGGAAAGGCAATCACCCCTGTCTCCCTCTTCTCTGGCTCTTGGGCTGCTGGCAGAGTTCAGCTACTCCCCCTTTTCCCTGGGAAACATACTGGTTATTTTCTGTTACTGGTTATTTTCTGTTTCAGCAGCTCAAAAAAAGTGCTTATTTGTAGTCTTTCGGACTGGAAGTGGATTTTCACTGTCAAAAAGAAAATGCTGAGTTACTTTTTTCCTTTTTTGCTCTTATTTGGCAGCTATCATTACTGATTCTTAAAGGAAATTTAGCATGTTATAGACATTACCGTTAACTGGTTATTTCTTGAGTGACAGCATAAGTAGTAGAAAACTTCCATCCTCTTTCCAAGGATTACCCAATGTACTGAATACTCTGGGGTAGAACATTTGCTGTTCCTTGGAGATCTACCTGCACGTGAAGAGTCTGTATCTTATTCCATGTAACAATAACAATCATATTAGAACAGCTTATGTTGAACAAATACTTTTATTTACAAGAGCATAAGTGACAGCTGTAAAATAAAAAAAAATGGAACAAGTCTACTTTCAGTCGTCAGCCTGGTTTAGATAAAGTCTCCAGCTTGACTGATTTCTTACTTGGCGTTCTGATTTGGAGATCAAAACTATAATAATCCAGTAACTTGGTACCAAGCTGAGCGCTGAAAGACACGTAGTACAGCTTAGTCTCTTCGTACATAGAAGATATTGTATCCAAGTTCGACCATGCCCCCAATAAGCAAGGCCCACAAGGGGATAAATACATAGGCTAGTTTCATCGTAGTAAACCGCTGCAGTTTAGCGCAGAGGGCAAGGCAGAAGGCTAATTTCAGTAGCATTGCAATGAGATACCAGGCTTTTTTCTTGATGTTTTGGGAGCCATTGCGAGGGTCGAAGCCAGACTTGCAACGTCCAGCCATTTTTACAATTAGCATAACTAGAAGAATAGTATCAAATATCCAGACTGGAATAAAAATGAGGAACCAGTTCCATGGTGCTTTCTCATCCAGCTTTAGCACCAGCATGATCAGGAAGAGTAACGTGAAAAGCCATGTCAGCAGTACTCTTTGCGCCAGGGACATTCTCATTTAAACAGCTTTGAGAGGGTCTTTCACAGTCAGCAACAACCTAACAAAACAAAAGCGGGGGGAGGCATCAAAAGATGTCACTACACAACAGTTAGGTAAGTTCCTCAAAGGAGACCGATTTCTTGTTCTGGCTTCCCCCCTTCTAACCTCACCTACGTACTGCTTCCCAGCAGTCCTTCTGTAACTACCAGTCTCAGTGGAGCACTCTGTTTTGATCCCGTCCACCATTCCACTTCAGTGCCTTAAGTCAGCTGTGTAAACTGCCTGAATCTAAATTTGTTCTGTGAAACAAAGTATGCTTTAATCCCAGACTAGCTGTCAAACTCACTTAGGGGTTTTTGTATGCTAAGAATACCTTTAGATCCCTTCTCCAGTACCGAGGCACTCGTAGTTAACACTTGAAGATAAACCTAACACTTCTCTCGCTGTAACAAATGAGTCGCAGCAAAACGAAATCCAGCCGACAAGCGCAGGTGACAAACCATCTGAAAGGGCTGGTAGTCTGCAGGGCTGCAGCTGAAGGGACCCGGGCTGAAACGGAGCCAGTAAGCACGACTACTGCCTTCTGCCAAGCGGCCATCTTAAAGCTACTAAGAGCTACAGATGATGTTGGCTTTCTGGCAGGTATCTGAAGTATGCAGGCACTGGCCGACAGGAACACCCTGTCGGTTTGTTGCCTTGGTGGTATATTTAAATTTCTATGTAGTCATGACAAAAGAAAAACAAGGACAAGTGCACCTGCCACCACAGTCATAAAAGTTCAGTTTTTATATTCCTAACTGAAAGGCTTTTACCGCTGCATCTGCCAGCAGCTTTTCACTGCAAGTATAAAAAGCAGGGCTGAGAACGACCATCTTCCTGCAGATTTCATGCTAGATGGATAATTAATATATAGTAGTGAAACACTGCTGAAAAAGGTTTCTTAATTATTTGAAAAACGTGAGATGTTTAGAAATTTGATAATTCCCTTTAGAACACTGATATCCTGTCACTTGAAATAAGGAACTGAGCTTTGATTTTTTCCAGATCACAAAAACATTTCAATTACTGGAGGTGAGATGATGTGTTCCAAAGCATCTAATCCTCACCACCAGACGCCGCGAGGGAAGGACAGGACCTGCTTCCTCTGTCTCCTCAGTGCCCCTGGCCACAAGCTGCTGCTTCCTCTGTGCCATTGCTGAGGCTCACGAGATCACCCGATCAAGCCTATTAAACTCACTGAACAAGAGAAATCTATTAGCACCTTTACCTTTTTCACTGGGTTGGTTTTTTGCCGGATTACCACATCGAACCAACTCTGTGCTCAGGGAAGCATCAGAACCAGGAGGAGGGAAGTAAACGCTACTGGCTTAACTGCTTAGGAGATGACCTGCTACGTTAGAGCTAGGGGATAACAATTTTGTACATCACTAAAATTTTCTTACAGTTTAAATCTCTGTCTCCTGATACACTGTTCAACAGACCTGCATTTTGTTCAGTCCGAGTCTGAAGTTTCAATGGATTTGATTTAGTTGATAGTAATGGATTTTTCTTGAGGAAGAGATCCAGTTTAGCCCAAAGTAATCTAAATTGGAGTTACTGTCAGTGCATCCCCTCCCTTGTCTTAGGGCTGACACTTGCGTGACCCAGAGCAGAGCAGTTCCTTGACCTGAACTAGCAAAATAAAAAGTTTAAAATAGGGTTTTTGTAGTTTGGTTTTTGCTATCCGAGTTTTGCTCGGATCCCCAAAGGGTCTGGTGAAAGCTGGTGCTGGAAACTGAAGTAATCTTAACCTTGACTACTTGAATCTTGTGCGCTGGTTAGCAGCTCACTTGCTTAGCATGAGTAGCTAGACTGCTGCAGCCCTCGGCCGCAGGCTGTAGCCCAGCAATGCAGTGAACTTAGGCTGAACTCTCTTACGCCAAGAAGAAGGGCTGGCAGTTTTGCATGACTGTGATATATTGTACCTTAACTAACATAATGAAATTGCACAAGAAATATTAAGGAAGATTGTACGCGCAGCAATATGAATTAGAGTAACAGTTACGATCAAAGGAAAAGGAACTATAATTCTTGGAAATGAAGAAAGAGACCGTTTGACCTGGAGTCAGCAGAAGACGGATGAGATCCAGGTGCAGATGGAACAAAAGATACAAAACTGTGTAAGAAGGTAAAGGCGCCTGCACCAAAACTCCAGTCATCGAGGAGGACCAGTGACAGCTAAACAGCGTGACTGGACAAGAGACACATGCGTGCCGCGTGAACAGCTCGTGTAACGGACTGTGGGGCTTTCAAAAGCACAGGACAGTAACCGAGGGGGTCCCTCTCTGGAGGCACCCAGCTCAAGCTGGCCCCCCTGCTGGGCCATTCTATTAAATTATTTATTTTTGTAAGACTCTATGCCTGAGCCTCTGCTTGGGGAAACCGAGAGTTCGGGCTGTGCTCCTCTAACAGCCAGTCACTGGCAGGGTGGAACCGAGGCCCCTCCTTAGGGAAGGGGTGAGCCTTAGTAGTGACGCTGAATGGAGGAGTTAATTGCTAGATAGACAAAAAATTGGAGAAGGTTTAGGTAGCACTGCTCTTTTCTTGTTATAGAAACATTCCTGGCGCAGAGGATCACAGAACAATTTCTACGACCTGCCTGAAGTACTTCCAGCATTTTGAAAACTTTCCCAGTATTCTCAAGTGCAAGTCTGTGCTGAAGTGGAGAGCAGTGACCTGAAGTGAAGTTCCAACAGTCCTTTCATGAGAACGTTTTTGAAAAGCAGTTCTAGAAATCAATGCTGCAGATACTACAAGAAGGAGAATCTCTTACTAGCAAACTGGAGAAAGCAGAAACCAAAGAAATAATAGACTGGAAACTTGTGCCTGAAAGGAAAAAAGGAATTCAACACTGTCAGGAGTATCAGGTTATCAGATACTCAAAGAAGGTGCTATCAACTGTCTCTGGAGGAAACAGAAAGCTACTGGAGATGTATTAGATGGGGCTACTCAATTTGAAGGTTGCTTACTTGATGAAAAGATTTTCAGTTTTCCTAAGTGTTCACAACCACCTTGTGACAATTTTACAAAGCACGGGCAGAAAACGCAGCATGGGACCTTACGCTGCCCTTCTTTGACCTAATTAAGAGATTGGGCAGGACTGCAAGGCTCTGTTCAATTTTAGAGGCTTTTTTGACAAAAACTGAAGAAAATCCGAGTGTACTTTTGAGATCCTATAGTACAAGTAAAGGAAGCTACCAAATTTTAAAGACTGACAGCTGGGGATACAGCTGACCTAACGGTGAAAGGTTTGATTACATGGAGCACTTGGCCATCTCTCATTAGGAAAGAATGATTACCAGTATATTCTCAGTCAGAGGCTATCACAAGAAAATGGTAACACTGGAAAAAGGATGTAGATATAGAACAAGTCTGAACTGGGTCTTCTGTGAAAACACTGATGGGCTGTCAAAGGCAGAGCGTAACAGTCCTTATAGGACTCGTGTAATTAGTAGGAAGCGAAAGTTTTCAATAATGAGAAACACTATCTAAGCAGCATTACTGACCTTGGTGGGATGATCCACATAATCAGAATATTATGATAGCTAATTATATCCTGTTTAGAATGAAAAAAATGTAGAGGAGGGAAACTCCCACATGACGTTCAGCTCAATATTAGTGATAACAGATGTATGAATTTAAACCTTGAACATTGCCCAACACAATTCAGAAAATGCTATTACACTTAAACCAAATTAAATAGAACTCGAGCTTGATTAAATGACCTTTTAAAGCCCATTCAGTAGGTATAAGTAGTTTAACACCTAGAAAGAAATATTCCATATTTAAAACCACATTTGAAGTGGTCCCTTACAAATACAGGTTAGGTATTCACAAGTTCTCCTCGCAACTGATGCACTCTTAGTTCAAGTAGTCTACTTAGATCTAAAAACGTAAATAAAGCCAAACGACAACATCCCCTTAACCGGAGTGTTTCACTGTTTTTCAGCAAGACTCCCGAGTGCTGGATTTGGCTGAAAACCAAAAAAATTCAGGAACTATTCAGAGGAACAGAACGAGAAAGCTGGCAAAGCAACCGAGGGTGCCGGGCTAAGCAAAGCCCGCGACAGCAATTCAACAACAGCCTCCCTCGCTCCTCTGCAGAAAGCCGACTATTTCCAACACAGCCCCGGCCCAGCCTTGGCGGGCCCGGTCGCGATCCGCGACCGCCTCCGCCCAACG